GTGCGTCTTGTTGTGTGGAGTGGCTGATTGGCGGACCGAGAGTCAGGCTGCAATGGCTCCTTCTAAATGCGGCGCTTATGGCGCACCCAGGCGAAAGCCTACTTAGTAAGGTGGGCTATTTTCAGGCGTATTGATTGTTGGTCGCGCTAGCCGCCTGCGTCCTCTCTTATCTACGGCCTTTCCGACTCTTTCACATCGGGTTCAGGTGTGGGAGGGGTGAGATTCTCTGAAAGTCTACCTTCCCATGGGAGTTACTGCGTTGGTTCAGCTTGCTGAGGCTCGTGGTCGGCATCGTCGAAATCGACGGTGGAATTGTCCCTTAACCAAAAGGCCAAATGTCCGGCCTAATGTCTTTAAGTCATGTGGGTGTTGACCGGTTCACTATAGATGACACAAAACATCGTTCCCCGGACCGAAAATTTATGAAAACATACTACAGCCTATACGCATATAGACAGCTTAATCCACTGTTAACACAAATTGTATCATTAAATTAGTTTAACGTGAAGAATGCGCAGCTTATTTCGGAAAATAATATTATTGCATGACGCTTTGCGGGGTTCAGGCTTGGAAGTTTGTGTTTTAAACGGTTACCAACGTTAACATGAAATATTGTTGTATAGTTCTTTTTGGAGCGTCATCCGAGGAATCCTTTCAGAGGACGGACCAAGAGGCTTCTACAAGGGCTACAGGTGCACCCTCGCCAGAGAGCTACCCGGCATATTTTTCTACATTGGCGGAAATGAGACGGCACGATTTCTGATGACACCAGCTCACAAATCAACCGATGAGCTGAGTCCTGTATGCACCGCTATTGCTGGTGGTTTCGGCGGTGTCTGTCTCTGGACCGTTATCTTTCCACTGGACGTGGTAAAGTCTCGAATTCAGGTTGGACGGACGTCTGTCGCTTGTCTTATGACCTCTGAGGCTACAACGGTGGCATTTGAAACACCACCACCACGGATTATCCCGACATTGTGGAATATATTGAGAACAGAGGGTAAGGAAGCCTTTTCGGGCTTATTTTAGTTAACATTTAATAGGTCTACTGCTTTTTACATTTTGGAGTTAGTGACTGAGGCAGAAGGGTTATCAAGCACTGGATCAATTTGTTTATTGTCCTGGGCTTTCGGCCCGTTGCGGCAGTCCATTGTCAGAAGTAAAAGTGTCCACAAAAAATAAGCAACAGTTTAAGGGACAGGAGCTAATCAAATATTATACGGGGAAGAGGGAGGAAATTCACTAATAACTTTTGTCGGACGTGCGGATATGCCTGTGCAGATCGATATATACCGGCGCCAGATCAATAAATCGATTGACTGAATTCTCATCCGAGGTTCAGGCTTAAATCAATTCTCGACCTGTCTTGTTGCCGGAGTGGGCGATTATCTTCGCATCTTCGAAGTTAAACTCGTGACCCGTCTCGTAGGTGTGGGCCGCCACTTGCGACAATGCGCCAATCCGTCTGAGAGCCAGCTTATGTTCGTGTATGTGGGAACCGTGCATGCGTTCAGTTTGCCCTGTAAAGTTATAAGGACAAGTTAAGCACGGGATACGATAAACTACTCCAGATTGTTCATTGGGGTTTAGCCGGTCTTTTATTTTAATTACCTGGTTGCGCATGGTAGCCTTGGGACAGTGTACAATTCCGACGCCTAGTGCCGCAGCGATGCGCTTTGTCGCTTTTGAGACATCCTTGATGTATGGCAGGGCGTGCCATATCCTCAATGGTTCTAATGTTTGGATCCCCCAGAGCCGTACTCGTAGGCGTCGGTTCAAAAATGCTTGCGGATAACCATTCCGCATGAATTGGTCGCGGAGAAATCGAGCCTCGCGTACCTTTTCCTCTGACCTGCTGCAGTAAGTCTGGATCCGTTGTAAGAGCGTTTCTGCACAGCTTCGCTTTTGGGCAAACAGATGGTTGCTGTGAAAACTGAGAAGTTGTGTCGTGTTCGTTGCCTTCCTGTAAACCGTCGTCTCAATGTCATCGTTGGACTTTCTCTTGAAGAGGACTTCCAGGAAAGGCAGCCGGTGCCCCTGTAACAGTTCGTACAATAAACCAATTGATCCGGTGCTCGACAACCCTTCTTCCTCATTCATGCAAATACCTGGAACGCGAAAGTTTTCATTCATTTGAAGTTAGTTTTGTACCCTACAGCAGCATGGTACCACATAAAATATTGACTGAAATACTAACATGTGTCTTCTAGTAGAAAATATTACTAAGGTCGAAATGCAAATCAGATTATCTTTTTCTCACGTCATACTATTCCTCCCGTGACGGAATTAATTTAATAGGTTTTCGTTTTGAATTCAGATGTTACATACATTGCATAAATTTGATAAATATCCGTCAGACGAACAACAGAATAAGACTCACGATTAGAAGCGAATAAGCGTGCCCCAGGTTCTTGTTGTAAAGAAGAGGAAGGCGCGATCTCTGGAACGATATCTCTATTCTGAGCTTTCGGCTACACACGAGAAGCCATCGTCAGAGAGAATGAGAAAACAGCAAGCTTTGGCTACGTGCCAATGGGGTTGGTGGGGGTGTGTGTGACAATTTTTGATTGGTTCATGCCCACGCCACGTCCATTCTCACGCTATCTTATCGTGTATCCCCTACGCGCGTCCCTGGAGGTACGGCGTGCGACCTTGACGTGGCAGCCTGCATGCTTGTAGAGATACTGCGCCCTGGTGTCCGGTCACGGGCACGGATGGCAAAATAACAGGGCTGTAAATCTACATACCTGTTTATGGAGTTAGGATATGACCCCCAGGCCTCCAGCAGTTCGCTTCCCGTCTTATTACTAGCTCGTACCATTATCCAAGTGTTCGAGAAGTCGAATTCGTGGCCTTCTTCCAGAGTGTGGGCGGCGATCTGGGACAGTAGATCGTCTCTCCGCACTGCCGTTTGTGTTCTGTTATTCCCGAGCTAAGTCGTCATCCGGCCTGCCCTGTAAAATGGCAAGAACAGTCGCGACATGGCCAACGCTTGCTGTTTTTTCTCATTTTCTCTGACGACGGCTTCTCGTGTAGAGCCGAAACCTCAGAATAAAAATATCGTTCCATAGATCACGTCTTCTTCTTCTTCTTCTTCTTCTTCTTCTTCTTCTTCTTTAGGATAAGACTTATCAGATAAATGCAGCGGAAGGTTCAGTTACGAACCTTTTCCAGATACTTATGAATTAGAAACAAAAATATGCATTTATCGTTTGGACTAGGTGCACTATTCGGACATCTACACATCTAAGTTTTTTTGAAAGGTTCTCATTTGGAACCTGCTGCTCTGCTGTCATGACTCCTTTAGGATTCCGAAGACAGTGCCTTAAAAAGAGCCCACATATTCCTTCAAAGCTGCAGATAGATTATCGCTATTGTTTTCTTTTTTCAACTGTTAGCTGCTTTAAAAACAGCTCCTTAGAAATATTTGCAGCCAATATGTCCATTTATTCTCCAGCGTAATCGAGCTGCTATTTTTAACAGTAAAGCCAGGATGTCCAATAAGGAAGCCCTAGCGTGTGGCACTCATCGAAGGGACACGTGTGATAGCCACCAGTTATCGAAGGGACACGTCAAGAAGTCACCAGATATCGAGGAATTTTAGGGCTATTAAGGTTTAACCTAACAACTGCGATCTTCCAGGTCCGGTTACTTTGGAGAGTAAAGAGAATTCTAGGGACAGCCAGAGTGATAGGAAGAGTGTATTCTGTAAAGACGGAAAGGAGAATAGTGAGGGCGAAGTTTTGACTGCCGGAGCACATCCCCCTCTGCTAGAGCGGCGTGGCCCGAAGTGATGTCTAGCGGCAGCCACCGTATCGAGGTCTGTCCAGACAGGTTGAGGCCAACCTACTAATGAGGTTAGTCTTCTAATGCGGGCATTTCATTAGATGGATCAAGGTCAAGTCGGGAAGGCAAGATGCGGAGGTTTGCGCCTGGTCGCAAAGGCACGACGTCAACAGCAGTGGGGTGCGATGAGTCAGCATCCGGTGGACATTCGCGTGGGACTGATCATGGGTTCGAAATAGCGCTAGCGGCAACTAAAACCCTTCAAATCCGAGGCCGTGTGCTTTTCGTATAATTTATATTCACAACAATATGAAACATGAAAAGAAACATATATTGTAGCGACCGATAGCTAAATAAGATCAAATTCAGTAGGCTTGTGGACAAGGTTCAGAATGAGCAAATATACGCTCTTTGATCCGAGCGGTGAGCATGCTCAATAACACACGAAACTGTCTACCTGCGATAATATGACCGAATGGAGGATAGAGTTTTTTAGTATTAAGTCAGAAAAACGCTTCCAACTTAAATTGTTAGGTTTTTCAAATTACACTCAGAGTAGAATTATTAAGCATACATATGTATATGCACTTGTTGATAAGCATTAAGTATGAAAGAAAAACCGAAGTATGGAAGACGACTCAACTTTGACGGATATAGCAACACTGCTTAGAAGGTAAGATAGATGGACTGCCATAGTTAACGATTCTTAATTTTAACCATGCAGTGATTTCTTTTTTACGGATACATAATAAAGTGTCTGAAAACTTTCTATGGAGAAGATTAAATGCTTTCTATGTTTTATCAAGGCGTTGGCGCTTTGTACAGTGGACTCCTACCAACGTTATTTAGGACAATACCAGCAACGGCAACTTTATTTGTCGTTGTGGAGGAGACGAAGAAAGTCGGTAACACACTACGGCATCAAAACAACGTTCGCCCTTAATCGGTCCTCTCGAATTATTTGACTTGTGATTTTTGCTACCAGAGACGGTAACCGAAACGAAATTTCTAATTGTTACAGAAAAATCGAAGATTTTCAGAAGAAAGATCCCAACATCAAAAGGAATGACAGTTCCCGCATCCATCAGTGCTGTATTCGTTGTTGCTTTGACAGAAAACCAAAAACATTTCAAGAATTTCGCTCTATATACTTCTTTTTTTTAAAAAAAAAGATTCATTTAATTTGGACGCAATTAACGGTTTATGCTGTACAGACTTATCTTTAATTAAAAGTTTTATTTTAATTTTGACCCCATCAACAGCTTTTGTAAATGTTAAACGACGCTGAAAAAACCCAGGGATATCTTATTGAATGAATAAACCAGGACTAACATCCTGTTATATAATGCTGCTCTCAGCAAAAGGGTAAGTGTTTTTTTCGCGAATATCGGAGAATTATTCTATATGCTATAATAGCCTCCACAAGAAATGTGCAATTTTTAACTTTCGACCTTGTGTTTATTTGCATTTAACATGGTATCGGTGCAGTTCGATAATATCTGCTGTCAAAAATATACGTTCTAGTACCCTCGCAAATCGAAAGCTTACCTCAGCCTAAATCCACGTTAGTAAGGGTATTAATTTATGTGTCGGATGTAGGACAGGTGTCTACGGGTGGTAATAAGTGCGCACGAATTCCAATCGAGATAATTTGGCACAAACAATCAACTATTTGGATGACGTTTTTATTGACACTGTTGTTTCTAACGCTGATTTTGCCAAAAAAATAAAAAAGCACGCCGTTCCTAGTTTACCTTACA